TGTTTTCAAGTTAAATGTCTTTGTATTTTTTAATATGTATTCTAGATATGTGTAGTTTGATTTTAATGTATTATGTTTGTAGAATTAATGGTATGCAAGCTGTATGAGATCAAAATATGTTTGGGACTTACGAGTCCCATCAGGCCTGAGGGAATCTTTTTTGTAAATGTTAGAAATTTGTATTTTCTACATTGTGCTTTATAAATTTATGAATTTGTTTAACATTTTTATAGTTAATATACATATAAGACTTATATATATATAAATAGATAATTTTATATAAAAAAAAATTTCATTTGATATTGATACACATCAAAGCCATATACAAAATGCACATTACGTAAAGTTTTCTTGTGTGTAAATGGGAAAAAAATAGCTTTTTACATCTTTACTAATCATAAATTATTAAACCAATAAATTTTATTTTAGTTTTGTCATGCATTTTAATTTTTTTTAATATTTTGACTATTATACAGTAAAAGTTAACAAATACTTAATATATATAATTATGCATTTAATTTGCAAATTTCTATGATAAAAGATCTTTATATAAAACAAAAATATTTTATTTTCGAAATATTAAACAAATGTCCAAATGTCCTTTCCATATTCTTAGATTATGTCGGTTGTCGACGGAGCATTATATCTACACAAGCAGCTTTAGACACCTTAACCGTATTTGTGCTTCTAGTCAGTGGTGGATGTCTTCTCTTTAGTGGAGAATATGATAATGGACCTAGGTTCTGTTCTATCCCAGCCATGATCAAAAATAACCTTATAACTATCAACAAATGAATCTGAAATAACCTCAAATTTATTAATAAATGATTTTTTTGTTCATACTTTAAAAGCTCCAATGTAATTCACGCCAGCATGGTTGAAAGTCTGAAGCGTCATTCAAATTTATATTGTACTTAAATTTGTAATCTTAAAATTATTCCACATACTTATATTAAATGAATGATGAACAAATAAGTTTTTCATAACTAATATTTCAAAAAATTTTAATAGAAACAAAGACTTTAATGAAAACATATTTATTTTACATCTCAAATCTGTTGAAAATATAATAAGCAGTAAAAACTAATTTATTTTATCATCAGATATATTCTATTTATTTGTATAATTAAATTAACCATCAAAAAGAATAAATTTTTGAATACACTGCTGTTACATGTAAATTATCAATCAATGAAAACTTTATTTGCCCTGTTGCAAGGGGTTGTACATAATTTAATTAGATATTTACAAATTATTGGAACATTTTAAAATTTTAGCAAATTTGTACAATTATTATACAAAGGTTTACATGTCAATCTGTCATTGACATTAACAATTAGTATTTATGCAACAATAGTCAAGATTTACAATATTAGTATATATTGAATTTGTCTTAAATTTTCTGAGTTTTTACAATCTTACTGAAGAAATTATGCATATTATAAAGGTCTTTTTTGTTCAGGTTATTTAAGTCATTTCTCAAATTGTGGGATGAATTACATTGAAGTATTTTCGTGATATTAAATGAGTCTCATATATTTTCAAGTCTGACAATTCAGTAATAGATGATGGATCGATAAGTCGTCAATTTTACACATGGCCATTGTTTATCTGAAAGATCAATGTAGGTGTTACTAATGTAGAGGGAATATTTATTGAGATGTATTTGAGCTATTAGTCTTTTTACATTAAGTTTATTTGTTTATTCATATAAGGGTGAGAAGATGGGATTTTTAGAATATTTGGATACCAAGGATGATAATTACTATGGTTTAGGGTGGTTTGGTCCATATGTATAGAGTGAGAAATAGCAGTTTCCATTAGCAAGATATAATCATATTTGCAGTCTTGGATATTATCTTGAAACAGTAGATTTGATACTCCAAATGAGTTAATTAATATATTATTTAACTTAGTTCGCCAAAGATTCTTTGCTGATGATTTTTTGCTATGTTTGATTAGCTCTTGATGTATAAAATCACTTTTAAATTTTAAATGGTAGTAAAAGAGGAAAAAGCTGATGCAACTAGTTTCATGACATGTTGCATATCCTGGAACAGTTCTCTCTAAGTGAAGTAATTTGCAGAGGAAGTATGTATGAAAGTTTTCTACTTTATTTAAATAGTTGAGACTCCAGATTGAGCTAGCATAACAGATGATAGGATTGGTTATCGTATTGTAAAATTTCATACAAATAAGCAGATTTGAAGTTTTTAAAGTCGCACAAAAATAACATAGGCGACCATTACAATAATCAATTGACAGTATTTGTTTCCAAATATAGGTTTGCTAGTTATAAGTAGAAGCAGAATGTAATTATATATAGTCATCAAAACAGGATGCTTTATAAAACGATTTGCATGTGATCCATGTTTCAATTATACCTATTATATGTGGATTATATTTTAGTTGGAATAAATTCAATGATGATAATTTGTTTTTTAGACTTTGACTGTTCCAATTTATGACTGGAATTGTTTGTGATTTTTGATAACATTTTTCTGATGAAGTTGTGATGATTTAGTTTTAAGGCTCTGACAGTTCCAGTTCATAGCCACAAGTGGCTGATTATTTATAGTAGATTTTCCTTGTTGGACTTTGTTTTGTTTCACTGTATATCATCTTGCAGTCACCTTTGACAAAGAAAAAGGGAGAACAGTCTCAATGTAAACTTACTTTTCTAAATCAACACTATACTTCAGTCTATCACTGCACTTAAAAGACAACACTAATTAAATAGTGTTGTCTTTTAATTTCATAAAAAATTGGTAATAATCGTTTGTCTAAGCCTTGATTCTTTTCTTAAAAATCTGGTGAGATTTGCATCTCTTTCCAATCATCCATGAGATTTTGTTGTTTCATTTTTATAAATTTCCTGAAAATTTGATCTCGGATCTGATAAATTAAAACATAATTTATTCGAATCTAATTATTTATCATATTATCCAGTAAGTATATTATATAACTGCAAAAAAATAGAAACATTTATAAAAAGTAGTTTAAACATATTTAAATGCAATTAATGATGGAAATTTGATATTAAATTAATGTTAAATAAGTAGTCAATGTTTGTGATTAACATAGAAGACTATCTGAATAGATTTATCTAGATATAAAAAGAGAATTTTTTTTTATTCAATATTTTATCACTTAAAACGGATGCATAAAAATACTTTTTACATTTAAAATTATGTTTAAAACATTTGTTTTTATTTATATTTGTAATGTAACTATGATATAATTCTACTTTTGTCTTCATTTTTATTGAAGATAAGTCAAGATAAAATATGGACCATTTATTTTGAAAGTAGTGGTTCAGGTCCATTTTTGAAGAAAATGGAGAAATTGCATAATTTACATATAATTTAATGTAAACTTTTTATTTATAAACAATTCACTTAGTATTTTATAATAACGATATGCTTTCATCAATTAAAAATTTGTGAGTAAAGGACATTGTATAACAATTGATTATGAAAGTCCTATAAGTCCGTTTACAATAAAAAAAATATATATATTGGTTTAGTAAAATTCACATAAAAGTCTTTATGCAATCAACTTACATATTTCTAAAATCATAGAAACATTGCCAAATTTAATAGACTTTATTTGTATTTTTAAATCAACTGAAATGCAATCTTTCAATATTTCGAAAGAAAAATAAATAAACAAACTCATACCACTTTCAAAATAAACAGTCCATATGTTTGATGAGGCTTTGCAAAAGTGCACTGTATACTATTTTATATAAAACATCGATAGTGGACACAGAATTTAAGACGTTACATTTATCACCTACCAGTTGCTAGCAAAACTAATCTGCATGTTAAAGGTTTTCTTGGATCATTTTGATTTACATTTCAGGGAAGACTGCCAAAATTTGAAACAATTGCCCTGGCAACTTTGTATAATGATGCCAGACCTATTACATACAAAAAATATAAGGATACGGAGCAGTTATTACCTGATATACCTCCTGTGCATCATGAATATTTCAAAACACAGACACATAAAGAGCGTAAATAAATAATAGCAATATCTTATGTTAAGATTGACTAATTATGAAAATGGTGTAAGTTCATTTACAGCCTATAAATATATATTATTTTAGTTAAATTTGCCTAAAAGAAATTTATATAATCAAATTACATATTGATAACTTAGTAGAAACATTGCCAGACTTGACATAACTAATTTATATTTTTGAATTGACTAATATGCTAACCTTTCATGTTCTCAAAACAACAATAAATGGACTTACACCACTTTCAAAATAAACAATCCATATATTACAGTACATGTATTAAATTTTATCATATTTTGTAGATGTGTATTATAAATTTCTATTTATAAATATTACAAATATAAATTGATAATCAAATGCAGTAAACAATATTAAAACAATTTAATAGTTAAATTGTTTTGATAAAATATGCAATTTAATTTTCTACAATATTATAGAAATAATATAGACTTGTTTATATTTAATATTCTAGTCTTAATTTTTTTTATTACTACAGTATTATTATTTTCATTTTCTTAATTTTTTCTTCTTTACTCTTATTCTCAATTGTAACATGTATCTTTTATTTCAAATTAGATTTCCAAATGTCTTCAACAAGAAGAATTAGAGATACGGAACTGCCAACCTACTTTGATGAGTTGTCAGACTCAGACATTGAGTCTGACAGTGACAGTCAAAGTAGTTTTAAGATTTCGGAATACGAGAATTCTTATTCTGATTATGACTCAGAAGATGCCGAGGAGCTTTCAACCATAGCTGTAGCCTCCACACCATCTGCTGGACCATCCACATCATCTGCTGGACCCTCCTCTCTTCAGCTTTCTGATGACGAGTTGGAAGATGAGGTGTATCTTGAGGTTCTGCCACCAGAACAATCTCTACCCACTCCTTTCCCTTTCAAAGAACTATGTGGCCCCAAACACATGCCTCCTTCTGATTCTCATCCTGTAGAATATTTTAACCTTTTTTTCACTTTTACCTTACTTTCTCTTATGGTGACGGAAACTAATAGGTATGCCAAGCAAGTCATAAATGGCATGGGGAAGAATGTTCCCAAATATCTGAAGACATGGAAACCAGTCACTATTAAAGATATAAAGGGGTTTTTGGCTATTGTTTTTGCAATGGGAATTGACAAAAGACCTAAAATATCGGATTACTGGTGCAATCGTCCTCCGTACGTATCTACGTGGTATGCGGAAATTTGTAGTAGGGACCGCTATTATCACTTGCTTCGATTCTTCCATCTCGTAGATAGTAGTAAGTTGCCTGGCCCAGGGAAATTAGGTTATAATGCCTCTGCAAGGTATCAACCTTTGGAGGATCACGCGAACAGGGTGTTCAGACATCACTATACCCCACACCAACAAATATGCGTCGATGAATCACTAGTAGGTACCAAGTGCCATAATCCGAACATTCAGTATCTTCCCGAGAAAAAACATCACAAGTGGGGAATCAAACTTTGGATGTTGTGCGATTCTGTTTCACACTATTGCCTGGGCTTCTTCACTTACAAAGGGGCCAAGACCCAGGCAGAGAAGTACAGTATCTCAAAGTTTGGTTTGGGATATACTGTTGTCAGGAAGCTAATGACACTTGGGAACTACAATAACAAGGGTTATCATGTGTTCATCGACAATTATTTTACGTCGGTACCCCTTGTTCGTGACCTATATTCCGATGGGACTTACTGCACTGGAACAGTGCGAGCAGTCAGAAAACAATTACCTCTTGGCTTCAAAGAGAGATTCACTGTAGGCCAGATCTCATATTTCAGATCTGGCCCCATATTGGCTTGTGCGTTCAGGGAACGTGAAAATATTCCACAACCTGTTTATCTTTTATCCAGCTACGCAAGGGCACACAACATCCAAATTGTTAAACACAGGGTGGAGAAAGTAAAGCCACAAGTAGTTTTATCATATAACAAATTTATGGGGGGAGTCGATACGCATGATATGATGCTATATACGTATTTGGATGAAAGACGGAGCAGGAAATGTTGGAAGAAGGTAGCTTTCAATATCATGGCCAGGATGATGTTGAATGCATACATTCTTTATAAAGAAAAGTCTGGAAGCCGGATGACCCACCAACGTTTCATCCAAGAGGTAATTGAAAGCCTGAAGAAAGAATCAAAGGAGGAGACCAAACCTATATCCCACACACCCCCAGATCCCAGAGGACCATCAGGACTCCGAAAATTGCCTGGTAGGCACCAATACCGCTGTGTCGTGTGCAGCACTCCAAGTCAAAAAAGAACATCGACAAGAGTGTGCACAAGATGCGGGAAAGGACTTCATGCGGATTGCCTCATCAGACATCAGTGCTAGCATTAAAGGTATATGAAATATAATTAATATAATTTTGTTATAGTTTTATATGCATGATTTTTGCAAAACGTACAAAATGATATTGTCTCTTACAGTTCTGGTCCTGATTTCTGTTTCCATCTTCTCAAAAATATAAAGTTACTTAGGCAAGGATTTTAGACTCCTTCATTTCCATCAGGTGATCATGTTGTGATGACTACATTCCCATTCAAAGGAACTCTCTCTGTTATGATAGTAATTGCAACAATGTATCCAAATCTATGTCAATATCTCAAGGAAAAAAATGTGTGCTGGTCCAGTCGTGGAAATTTATAATAAAGAAGAAATTTTCTTCTTTGCTCCTTTAGCTAAGCAAGATGAATTTTACATTTCAGAAGCTTTAGAAGAAACCCCATCTAACCAAGTTTAATCAGACTCAGATATATCAAAAATAACAGAAATAGAAGAAAACATTTCAGATAAGAGAGACAGTATCACTTCCTTAGATTTTTATGGGATTTACTAGTTATTTCCCTCAATATTGTGAGCATTTAAATATGCTATATTATGTGATATTTAAAATTGGAGATTTTTTTATAGCATGATCCCATGTTACTTTCTCACTGTTACATTTATGCAAAAAGATGTAGAATCACTTCAAGAGAATGATACGCATGATCAGAATTAATTTTGGAAAGTATTGCAATCTGCCAGGCAATTTATGATTCCTATGAAATTTTGGTGAAATTTTCGAGGTTCTACAGTAGAACCTCGAAAACTCGGCTCTCGATAACCCGGCCACACCCTGGCAGGGCAAAAAAATCCTTAGTTAATTAATTTTCATTATAGACAGCTTTATAAAAGTATAAAAGCTCTCATAAAGTATTTTTCTGAGGTCTGTCTTATCAGGTAAATTACTGTACGCAGTGTATTCATTAATTTTCATTTTCATGTAGTAAAGGCTCTATGCCTTCATAAAGTACGTACTTTTCCTTTGTTTAAGGGTATTTGGGCAGTTTATTCTCTGTTGTATTCTCAAGCAAACAATACATACAAGTACAGTACAGTATTTTCTGAGGAAACACGCATACTTATCTTTTTTTAACCCCGTTCCCGATAACCCGGCATTTTCTCAAACTCGGCCACCCTTCGGTCCACATTAGGCCGAGTTTTCGAGGTTCTACTGTACTTATTTTTTTTTTATGTAGTAAATTTATTTAAAGTTATATTCAAAAGATATATATTCTCCCATTATATGATGGAAATAACAATATAGATTTTCTTTATAATACTGATAAATTGTTAAGTCGTTATCAAAAGTATTATCTAAGATTATTATTCTAATATCTCAAAAAGTGCACTTTCATATAATGTACAGTACATATATATGTAAATTCTTTGTGTAATTAAGAATAATCTTTGTTTTGTAATATTTTCTTGCATTTAAAAGTTTGTAATTTCCTTAATGTCAACCATTAAATTTTCTTGCAGAGATCCTCACATTTAGAAAAATTTTAGTAAGAAATGCAAATTGAGACTCTGCAGGCCAGAGTATATTTGCAATTTTAGTAACTGTTTATTTATATAATTTTAAAATTAAATATTTTTAGTTAATTTTAGTTCAATCAGTATTTGAATTTTTAATATATAATACAGTCGACCCCCCTATAACACTGTTGATAATTCCATTTTATATGAATTCAATGTTGTACGAGTCACTTAGATTTTACAAATACGTGTGCCAGGCTGTGAACGGCTCACATATTTGTAAAATCTAAGTGACTCGTACAACACGGAATTCATATAAAACTGAATTATCAACAGTGTTATAGGGGGTCGACTGTATTTTATTCTTCCTGTGTAAATTTCAGTATTTGTTTTCATAATGAAGATTGTGTAATGTTACGAATAATTTAAATAAGTAATTGTTGTAAATCTAATAGCATAATTCATCTCTCTGACGTCACAGGCTCTAAATTAAGCAATGGAACTGTAATGTGCATTACTGATGTCATTCAGTAAAAATAGTTGTGAATACGGTAATGTATAGTCAGTGATGTATGATGATTCAGAGCCGTAACTAGCCATTCCTGTGCCCTGTGCAAGAATTTGCATTTAGGCCCCTTAATTTATTTGGTTTGGAAAAATAATAAAACAAATATATTACAATAGATTTTTAATAAGATTTATTTTAATTGAACTTTTCTGGCTTTCATTTCAGCAAATTCATTAATTACATGATCATAATTAGTATTTTTAATGATAATGTATTCTATTGAAATAATAGAAATATTGGACAATCGTTCTTGCCCGATATTTAATCTTAATAAATTTTTTATTAATTTTAACTTGCTAAAACTTCTCTCGCACGAAGCAATAGAAACGGGAAGAGTTAGAAATATTCGAAGAACGACATTGATATTTGGGTAAGACTCAACTAAACCAAAATCACGAAGAGCCTGTAGAATATTAAGCGAAAACGCAGTTTCTATATTTTGTATAAGAGTCGTTACTTCAAACTTAAAACTTTCAATTTCACTTGTGAATTCGTACTTTTTTAAATCTTTGCTATATTTAACAGCGAGATCTGCAGCTGATTTTTTTTAAATCAGCAACACTCATGTATTATAAAGAAGAGCCATAGAGAAAGCAAAAATTAGCCTTTTTCCAGTATCATATTAAAGACCTCGGGGGCCCCTTCGAGGCCGCATAGTTCGCTTACCGCCGTTGAGGTATACAACACATATGGGTACTAATATAAAGCAAAAAGTTATGTCAGAATTTCTGCACGCCTTTTACAACCTCGAGACTAAGATTTTATTCGAGAGTTACCACGTTATCTATTTAGCAATTAAAAAAATCCCCGGGCAGATTTATTTTTATTACAAAATGTTATCTTTACAGATTTCTAGCTCTGCACACTGTAGAAAAATCTAGAAATACAGTTTTATATATCGTAATAATATTAGTCGTCGCCAGAGAGCTCTATAAAGTAGAGAAATATCTATAAATTTGAAAACTATAAACATAAATTTAAATTTCTCAAAAAATAAATAAACAAAATTTCAAAAGTCGGTACTTTTGGCTGATTTGTCTGCTGTCTCCGCTATCTCACTACGTCCCTCTAAAAGTCGCCACGGTTGGGAACACTGGTGAGCAGACATCTAGGGTCTAAATAAGGCAAAATGTAATCGCCAATAAAAAGGAGGAAAAATTCAAGATTTAAAACTAAAATTTCTTGTAAACAGCAGTTTGGGCCCCCTTCCAAATGGGCCCTGTGCGAATGCACCTGTTGCACCTGCCTAGTTACGGCTCTGTGATGATTTAACATTAAACTATATGTAAATTATAAATATCACTTTAATCCTTGGTTGTTCAGGTATTTAACTAATGTAGAATTATGTATTTCGTTTAAAGTTTGCCTTAAAGCAACAAAATAGCAATAGAAATATTTGTATACCTGTATTTTGTTGGTTATTTGCATTTGCTTCCATAAGAATTCCACAATGTGAAAAGTATTCATATTAAACTTTTAATTTTTTTAATAATTATTTGTTAATAAAGTAAATTTTTTAAAATTTTATTTGTTTTTGTACAAATTATTTGCTGTTCATTGTGGCTGTAATGTTCTAAATTTTATTCAATTTTGTTGATTTATCTACAAAATAGGAAAGAAAGTAACAATGTTAGCAAATCTCATTTAAGTTTTTTACATTTAAACAAACAAAAGTGTTTTTAAAGGAAACAAAATACATACATATATCTAATTAATATACATAGCAAATTAATTAGATGTTTCATAATACCATTATTTTTTTGTCTAAAAATATAACATTTAATTAATAAATTTTTTAAACCTTGATATTTTAAACTAAAGATTTGTAAATTAAAACAATTTGGGATATAAAACAATTCTCGCGATTTTTAAGCGAGATTGCGGTTTAAAAAAACCTAAAATTAGCATAAAACAAACAAAATATTCTGGCTGATATACAGATCTTTAATCTATCTGGTAGGCTAAAAGGGGCACCATTTAGAGCTTTGTCCCTATTTTTCTTTATAAGAAATTCGTTTAACATTACCTGTCAATAAGTTACTTGGAATTTCTCGAAAAAAAAGCATGTAAACAATTGGAAAATTGATTATTTTATTTCAAATTCAATTTTAGTAAACCGATAAGAGAGAATGTAAGGCAATGTATTTCAGATAAGTGATGGAAGACTCAGCCATTGCATCAACATTTTGTAGACAAAATTCATTAGTGATTAAAGATGAATGACAATAAATATTGTGTAAATAAACGTGTTCATATAAACATGGATTTGAATTTGGTATAAGTAAATAGTTGAGAATATAAAATAACTTACTAATAAAATAAGAAATCCCTTTTAAAATATTTATCACTATTAAGTGAAATTACCAATATATGAAACTCATTATTCTCTTGTTTGTAGAGTACACAGAAAATCCTGTTTAAAATTGACAGCATTAATTTTAGTTAAAGTAATCATTTTTAAACGATTAAAAACCTACATATTATTTGGTAAAATGTGTGACTAAATATCCAGATTGCAATACGTGTTGATTTGTTGGCTGAATGATGTCAACCTACTGAAATTGGAAATGTTGATCAATTAGCCTAAACTTTGTATTGTTGTTGTGAGAGTGAACAAACATTATTTCTAAATGTTGATAAAAGGCACTTATTTATAATCTCACTAGCTCTTGTGTGTATTGACATTAATGTTAAAATTATTGCGAAATTTTCAATTAAACTAAATTATGTGATATAAAATATTTTAATGTTGAACCAGTTTTAAACATCAACAAGTAACTTTTATCTGTTTTGTATTTCAATAAAGCTTTTTTTGTACATTTACTATAATAATAAAATAATCAAGAATAATAAATGTAAATTGCAAATTAAGTTTTTTTTTACATTCTCTATTAGACAATACAGTATTTTTAACCTTACAGAAACTTGTATTTAATCTTTTATATATATATATATACTACAACAGAATATGCTAAGTGGAAATGCAGATTAGTTAACAATTTTATATATTTTTTCACCTAAACATAATTCATAGTTTTTAATGCATAATTGTTAAAACATTTTAAATAATAAGTTAATATTTTCTACAGATTCTCTAATCCATTGGTTTGCTTTTCAAATCAAATCCTGTGGAAACTTAAATATAGACACTGAATATGACATTACTTTATATTTTCCTAGCAACCAGGTATACAACACAAACATAAAATAGCTTACTATGAAAACATTACAGTACAAATGCAACATTACTTTTTCCTGGTACTTATATTGATAAACAATTTCCATGATGAAATGTATGGAAATTCTTATTTAAAACATATATAATTATTATATTCAAAGGAATTTAAATACAGTATTATTATTGTTAAATAATTTATACAAGAATTCTATACTTTTAATTTAAAAAATGGTCATACAAATTTGATTAAATATATTTACAGATATATCTATTATGGAACTGGATACATGAAATTTCTATAAATTTGAAGTGTTGTTTCTTAACACAGATTTTGAACTGACATTCAAAAGCAGTCTTGTCTATTGACAGAAAGAACTGTCAATCCTAGTAAAGAATTAAATATTTTTTTTTTCTGTAGAGAGTAATCTATGGAGAATATTCTTTATTCAAAATTGTTCAATAACTTTCATATTTAAACTTTATAATTTGTTAAGCAAGATTTGTGAAAATTTCTTTCAGAGGTATACAAAACTATATTTTATTGTTTCATCTATATTAAATGAATATGACAAATTCAAAAAATATTCTGACTTGACTCAATTATAAATTTCATCCTTTCTCGAACTTTTTATCAATAATTA